CTTACCTTAGTATGTGCAGCCTGTCATCCCCCGGGGCCTCTCCAGCGAAAACGCGGCCTTCGTCCGGTACCCAGCCGGAGCCGTCTAGCCGGCCAATCAGGAAGCCGGGCGCCGTGTGATGACGCGACACCCTGCTTTCTGATTGGCCGGGAGGCCGGCTCCATGCTCTCTTTTCATGAGATGACGAGGCAGCATGGAGCCAGCTTCGCGGCCAATCAGAAAGCAGGGCATTGCATCATTAGACGGCGCCCGGCTTCCTGATTGGACGGCTCGGGCTGGATACCCGACGAAGGCCTCATTCTGGAGAGGCCCCGGGGGATGACAGGCTACACATACTAAGGTAAGGTAACCTTACCTCACAAGGCCAGCTTCCGGTCAATCGTGAAACCGGGCAGCGTGTAATGACACGCTGCCCGGCTTCCTGATACCGGAAGTACTCGTGCTAGGCATCGGAGCATTTGGGCGAGTACGAGTACTTGCCCAAATACTCGGAATCGGCACCGATATCGATACTAGTATCGGTGCATCCCTAGTTGCAATTAAATGTTCGACTGTATCATTTTATCACAACACAGTACATAAATGATTTTTAACATGTCTCTTATATACAGTTTTGCGTTACCTAATTTTTTTTACCGTTTCGCAAAAAGGCGCACCTGCGAGCACCGCACTGGAAAAAAAATACTGCATGCCAAACCTTTTTCAGCGCACACTACTTCAACACGGTGGGGTCGTGCACCGAGCCCATCTGGTACAAGTCAAATTGCCTTGTCTTTCCCTAAAAAGAGCTGCTCACAATTTGGCTGGTAGAATCTAGATATTTAGATCACTTTCCTCAAACGTAAGCACTTCCTTCCTAACCCTACTAATGCTTGGGAGCTATAATGGAGCAGACTCATCAAGATGGAATATAGACAAAATAATATATGAATAAAACAAAAGGTAATACATGTTTGCACACGCATAAACTATTTTAAAGTTGTGACTGCAGACTGCATTAAAAGAAAAATACTATTTTCAAATTTTCAGCCACTCCAGAAACATTTAGTAAACCTCAGTGGCCCACCAGAAATATTTTGTTTGACTCTATGCTGTTGCAAACTGCAGTCTTGATAGGTGCACGGTTTTAACAGTACAGCATTGCTATTGGCAAATTTTTCTAATAAAGTTGAGTAAACACGATTCTCTTTTAATTGTTTTATTGAGGTTTTTTTCCAAAAGTACACAATACACGTTAAGCAGTAAACAATAAGGAACAAAAAGATAATCATAAGTACATGTACCTACATATAATTGAAAGTCTTGTCACATTCAATAGGTCAACAATCAAGTCCCTTGAAACATCAGTATCTATACATGGGGTGATTAATCCAGCACTCCCACGCTGTTAGGAATGAGTTGAATTTACAATTTTTCATAGCGAACATGCGTTCATAAGCACATTGAGGTTAACCTTGCGGACGGCATCACTGAAGTCAGGCATAGATGTATCCCTCCAATGTTGCGCAAGCAGTGTCTTGGCTGCTACAAGAATATGCATAACAACGGTTCTAGCTCCGAGTGGTATTTCTTCAATGGACAGGTGCAACAGTGCCAGAGCTGCTGAAGGTGCCACCGTACATTGAGACAAGGTCGAAATTAGCTGAAAGAGCTGGTTCCAGTAAGACCTAACCGAGTTACAATACCAGAAGATATGGATCAGTGAACCTATCTCATTACAATTCGAGTATACACAATTCTGATTAGAAGATGAAATAGAACAGATTCCTCCAACGCTGACGAGCATTGATCATGGAATCTCCTGCTTTTCCTTTGCCGCCAGCTGTCAGAATACGCAAACCGAGCTTGCAGCTCATTAGCTTCTAACTCTGTTCAGCCAACAGTTTTCCAGTATGCTCCATCAATCAGCTGATCGAGGGATGCCGGTCAGAAAGGTGCCGAGAGAGGTACCCATGCATCAAATTTCGGCGGGTTCATCAAGAACCGGACAAAGTTCGAAGCATGTATTCCCAGCTTTATTCTTTTTAAATTTAAAAAATCTTAATCACATATTTTGTTCTGGTGTGTACTGCAGCTGTTTTCTGTGTTTCTTTTCACACTTCCATCTTTTTCAGAAGCCAGGTTTGATTCTCCTCCTTCCAGAACTGTCTTTCATGACGGGCATCCCCGAAACAATGAAAAAAGACTTTCGGGCCATGAAGGTAACCCGCTGTATGAATGGAATGGGACTTCTGCTTTAGCCATGCATTTTTCCAATACTGTCTTAAAGAAAAACTGTCAGCTTCTCCCCCCAAAAAAATGTTCTTTGCAAGGGAAAAACACGCTCTCCTCTCCAGCTGCCTATGTCTCTTACCTGCCCTCTGTTTGTGTACTGCAACCTCGGTCAGGCTCTTTGGTGTTCAACACGTCTGAGAAATTTGGATGCCTATGTTCCCTGTCGAGTGTTGTGCTGCCATCCTTCAGCTGGTACTTCACTACTCAACATTGATGCTGTGATCAAAGGAAGGAGACACAGCGGGGTATATAGGCATCCGGCACTCTACAGAGGCAGAGCCAGCTGTCAATCATGTGGCAGGGTGGATCCCGACAATATTGTCAGGATCTTTCCCGGCCACAGCGTGCCTCTGCACTGTCATCATATAACCGCAATAGCTTTTGGGTCACAGGAGGAAATGGTAAATGTCCTCCTGTGACACTAAAGAAAACTATGCCTAAAAAAGGTTGGGCCCTAGTTATCTTTTAAACTGCCTTACGCCTCAATAGTTGCACCCATTACTAGCATTCTAGTCTATGCAATTATATCAACTAACATACTAGGGACAGCCAGCAGTATGCCAGCCAGTTTGTATTACCATTAATAGTGCTATTAGTTTCACACTAGGAGAAAAGGAGCCAGAAATGACCTCATCAGAAGCTGCTATTCATTCATTTTCCAAGCAGGCTGAGACTGGGTAGGTGACCAAGCTATTGTACCCTCTGTTACTTGAACAAAAAAATAAAATAATCAAAGCTCAAAGTTGAATTCCTTAAGCTCACCATACATGTTACAGTCTACTTATACAATCTCCTTTAGTTCTACCTACAACTAAGTACTGCAAGGGCCTGCCTGATTTGGATATAAATTGTTTGGATAGCTTCAGAATGTCCTCATATAACATGGTTTTGATGCACCTAAAACAAAGATTGTACAGTCAGATTGCAACGTGCTTGGTGACCCTTGGTGTTAGAGACTTGCATCAACATTGCCTGTATCTGAAGATGTAGGGCATAAAAGGAGCATAAACACATGAAGCATTTCCTTTTACCTTGTGGTGTTTTCTAAAAGCTTGCCAAACTACTGTCTAATGTTATTTTGACAGTGTGCATCTGCTTTTCTTTCTTGTTCATTGTGGGACACAGGAAGTTTTTAATGACTGGTGTTCTACTGCTGCCTACAGGAGGATTGGACTCTCGCAAATAAAATAAAAAAAAACTGTTGGCCAGCCTATGATAACCCCTCCTGTGAGGACTCGGTGCGAAGGCCGTTCAGGCTGAGAACCTGGTGCTACCTCAGTTACACAGTACTCTGGGCGCCGTTTGGTACTGATGAAGAGCACTTATCTTACTCCGCTAACGGCAAGGTCCTTCAGGCATCTGTTGGAGTTGCAGGCAGTCCGCCAGTTCTCTGTCATCCATTGAGGGACACAGCTCTTAAGAATTCTGAGACGGGGGGGGG